ACGAATCAGACTTCGTCAAACTTCAGAAGCAATGGCGATTCACTTGCTAAGCCCTGAACTCTGCATACAGAAGAAGTTCGTTCAATCACTACATTTACAATGGACTTAATCTATCTTATTACCCAACAAGTAAATTCTACCTAATCTTTTTTATCCACTGTCTCTTCATTAGTATTATTTTGTCTTCTTAATTGTAATATTTTGCATTTTCCACTCTCTTGTTCTCAACCCCCACCCGATTTAATTTCTACACCTTTTTTTACTTCGGCTATCTCCTACGGGAGGATGAGCCGGCTTCATGAACATCTAGAATCATCGCTGCCCAGGCGCGGCGATCTGATGCAAGGTTTTGCCACGACAGGGTTATCCAATTCTTCTTCCACAGACGGAGTCCGTAGACGGTTTGTAGCCCCAGGCACTCCATATCAGCCTTGACTGTACCAAGCCATGTTTTCAGCTGTCCACCCCTGCGACATCGCCAGGATGGAAATGGCGAGGGATTTAGAACTGATTTGACCAGATCATCATCTGGTCGGCGCAGAACATGGCCAAACCACCGAAGGCGACGTTGTTGGACCATTACTGGAATTTGGTTGATGTTATAGAGAGTTCATGAAGTTTCATGGGAATTAGGTACGAGTGATGTCCCCGGCATCGCTCGGCCTTTTGTTTGAGAGTGCAGCTCTAGCCTTAACACAACCAAGTGTGACCTACAAGGCAGTAGGAGTGGAGTAGGGAGTCCACTATCCATTGTCAGCCGGTGACCGGAGTCCGGTTCATACACCTTTTTGAATGGGGCCAGACATCCAGGGCATCCAATAAGCCCTTTGTCCATACGTCTGCCAGTGAGCTCCGGTGAGCTTCATACGCCAGTCGTTGGAGGTTTGGAATCAGGGTTTAGCCTTCTCCCCTAGACTGTCATCCAATGGACAGTCAACCCGGTGAAGAGCGCCGGGCATCCGCTTTTGCCCTCTCACTTCGGTGGAAAACACCTCCGCCACGTGAAGGCAGTGAGTAGGACTTCCTCAAGAGAGGCTATGTAAGACGCTTGGTCATATGGGAGCATTTCAACAGGTGAACGGAGGGGTGGCCGACCCGCAGAGCAAGGCACCCACCACCGACCATCCTTTGTTATTGACCTGACAAACGCTCAATTTCTAGTCATTTATGTTACGTCATCCAACTTGATTGCTCAATTTCAGTTCTAATTTAAATGGCATTATTATCTACCCCGCTTCTACTTAGTCTCTACCTGTAATTACCTCTGTTGCTACCCTAACCTAAGTTGAAACATTTCAATCAACTGTATTACGTCATCTAACTTACGGAGTCAATCTTTCTCTAGTTGCTGTCTAATTAACCTTGTTTCCATATTAGAGGATTCTTGTATTACCTGGTCAATTATCTGAACTTGACAAACCTGATGTACACACACACACACACACGAATAATTGTATATAAATTCGATTGTACAGCTATGTGAATGAATTCTCCGAAAAGAGTCTCTTCGCTGAATGTCTTCTTTTTTTCTGGTGTAGTCGACAGAAATTTAGAATAATATGACATATGAGGTCAACTGGTGGATGGTAACTAGCAGTGGAATCCAGGATGCGCATTTCGTCCTATTTGGGACTCATCAGCTGGATGTACCTGCATTCCCCAGTGAGTCAGTAGTGATGTTCCCACCGAGGCTCGAATCCAGTGCACATAGTTTCAAACACCAAAGCGTTACCCACTAGACCACTTGGGCGACGTGAGCTACCCCTTGTGCAACGAGTCGTATCAATTATTCAATTGAATTTTAGATTTTTCCGTCGATTGATTGGACCGAAGTGCTCGGCCGCAGGTGGATATGTCAGCTTCTTGTGCAGATGCCTCGACGAATTGCACATCCTGGATTCCACTGCTAGTCACCATCCACCAATTAACCTCTAATCACATGCCCAGATATCGTCTAAGCATCTGCACAAGAAGCAGATATGTACTTCGGTCCAATCAATCGACGGGAAAATCTAAACTTCAATTAAATAATATGATAGTTGGTTCAAATCTATATTGTCTAACTCTCAGCACCCTCTCTCTTCACGAATTCCCCCATTGCATCCTTTCAGGTAGGGCTAAAAGTCACTATAAAAGACTATTTGCTCGTAAAACTAAGTACAATAACTCAAGGATATCCGTCAGCCTTCTGTATAATAGAGAAGATTGTGCTAAGCATGAAGCCTATAACTCAGCATGTAATTAGCAAAATAAACTGCTCTTTGATCTTCTCTTATTTGTAATTTATGATGACACTATTTCCATGATCTTATAATTTTAGTTATAATTATTAGACAAAGCAATAAGATGTTATTTGTCTGAATCGTGTTGTGATGTATTTGCGCAACACATTTCCAAGAGTCTGATCGATCGCACACGGACTTGTTATAGGGATATATATATATATATATATATATATATATATATATATATATATATATATGAAATTAATAAAGAGATAAGAGTTGATAAGATAGACTTAGGTCAAGTTAACAGAAAATATTGAAGGTTAAAATAACAATGAATATCACTAAGCCAAATAAGACGGGTAATAGTGCATTTACTGTGGCTGGTGTCAAAACAAAACAAAGTTTACCAAAGAAGGTGATTGTTTAGTGTGATGACGAACTGTTTTTGAACGCATAAACTTGGTTTAAACTTCCTAATTTCCAGGGTTTCCACAAACTTTAGGATACGCCCCAAACACGTTTTATAGATAGGTTCAAAAGATGTGTTACCGTCAATTTTATGCCCTGTCTCTATAACCTGTTTCACAATAGAGGAGCTAGGTCTCCTGTACTCACCATTAATGGGTTCTTGGGATTCTATTTGTTCCTGGAGCCATTTAGGAAGATGCTCTGAAGCCAGCCCTTACTTGCAGAGATCGATGAATCCTCCCTATGTATGTGTAGCTACACTTTATTAATTTCATATATATTCCTATAACAAGCTCGTGTGTGATCGGTCAGATACTTGGAAATGTGTTGCGCAAATACATTAAACGATTCAGACAAATCACATCTTCTTATTGCTTTGTTTAAATTCATAAAGGGAACTAATTATTTTAAATTATTATTAGTATTACTTTATGCCTTTTGCACATTTTTGACCTTATTGTTACTGTTTATTCCAAAAGAGTTGCTGTTATCATAATTTCGTTTATCTATACTGTGTGATGTTTCTGCTGTCCAGTAACTTAGATGCGACATTTGACTGAATGTGCTGATAATTCCATACTATATCATGAGTACTGTTTCGCAATAAAGCAAATTACCATTATTATTATTATTATTATTATTATTGTTTGATAGTTTTTATGAGAAGATGGAGATTATCTGAAAAAAGTATGTAATGTATTAGTGCAATACATTTTAAACAATCTGATCCCTCGCACACATTTACTTGTCAAGTCAATTTATTTTTAGAGTAAAGTCCAATTGAAATACACACAGTGACAGAAATGAATTTAAGAATAATAAGGATAATTAAGACAACGTTCGGCAATCCAATCAGATAAGGATTACCTAGGTAGGTTAAGAGTAAAAATAAATTTTCAAGAATTAGTTTGTAGGGATTCTATTTGTTTCACATTAGACCACTGATCGACATCAGTTAGAGAGTCAATGAAAGCCAGCAGAGAATACTGGGCACCTGTTTTGTTAGCCAGCCCATGAATTCTAACTTCTACGAATTCTTGATTTTAGCGCCATCACCAATCAATGTCACTGGCGGGAACTCCGTCCTCACTGCAGACTAGATGGACCCCACTGGTCACGACTTCTCACTAGAATCCCTTCGTCCTGTAGCAGTTCACTAGCAAGAATCACATTGATTTTTACGAATTAGTTCGGACACACATGGTGGAGGGGCTTAAGTTTATGAATAGCTATAGCCTCAGTGTATTTCAATAAGCGCGCTTGACCATTTTTAAATATGACCCTAAAAACTGTGTTAATATCCATCTTATGGTTCTTATGGACCAGATGTTTGGCTATAGATGAAGTTGGCAGCCTGTTGTCCCTGTCTACTGATTTCCCAAAGTTCATCTGTCTTTCTAACTGTTTCGAAACATGCTCTCCCACCCTCACATACAATGCACAATTACTCCTCCCTATTTATTTGTGTACACACATATAAATTGGTAAATGGTGCGGGATGTGACATAATTATCTCTTTACTTTTGAGGTTAGTAATTGAGCATATTTTCGGCTTTTTCAAAGATTACAGGCCGGGTTGCATAATAGCTCCTTAGGATAATAATAATTTAATTTTTCCTTCACGTTCCCAGTGGAACATAGGGCTTGAAGCTAGTGGCTTGAACTTTCAGCAGCAGTGTTTAGTTTTTACAGGATGGGTTTGCTAGCCTCATACCCAACCCTTCCTCTTTACCAGTATTACTTCTAGCTCCTAAGGATGATCGAGTTTAATCTCTGTCTCAAAGTCTTACTATTTATTTCCGCATTGTATGGTAATTTGATGAAGATATCTTTCTTAGGGGCGGAATACATTGTAGGTTTTAAAATTAACTGAGTTCTACACCTGTTTAAAAATTAAATAGGACATCCATTTTCAACAAGACTGCCCCCATCAGTATTTTATTTTCCTTCTTTATAACATCAACCGTGCAAATACACTGGATCCTCTTGAATAAGCATTTCACCAAGATTTATCCTTATCTGACTACATTACTGAACGTGGTGTCAATTATTCTTAAATTCTTTGTATACTTTAATCGCCCTTTATTTGTTTGTTTGTTTTTTTCACATAAATTGACTTGACAAGTAAATGTGTGCAAGGAATCAGATTGCTCGAAATGTATAGTACAAATACACCACATACTTTTTCAGATTATTTCCGTTCTCTAATAACACTATGTAGATGTTATAAAAGGGACTAATTGCTTTAAATTATTATTATAAATAAATAAATAAATAAAAACACACCCGTATTATTCCACTTACTTGAGATACATTAACAATAAGTCGAACAAACATATAGAAAAAGCCAAGAGTCCAAAATACCGGTAAACGTAACCAACCTTTCCATGATGTAATCATCTCATGACTAGGACGTCTTGCATCTCTAGCTGACTCATAAACTGAAACGTCTGATTCATTTGCTAAATATATCATAAGTGTAAAAGAAAGACAAAAAAGCGTCTATTTCATTCATTTCAATAAAGACTTAGCATTTCTGTCCAATATGAAGTAATCAATGAGAAATTCAAACTAACCAAATAAACAAATCAATAACTCTGAAGAGTCCCAAGCCAGAACGAAACAGCTGTCCACTACTCCCTGGTGGTTTTTCAATGGTTCTCTAAGTGATATCAGCTCACGATGAAATCCTATAACCAATCAATCAAATCCCTACAAACCAATACTTGAAAAACAAATAAAACTGATACCTGTTATACCAGAAGTAGATTTCTTGATCTTGTGTATGTGTAGACAATTCAATAAATTTAAAACAAGCAATAAAGGTTAATATAGCAGGACTTAATGGATTCATCAAATTTCGGTAGAACTCGTCAGCTGAATACTCTACGTACACGGATATATATACTTTTGAAATTACATTCGGAGATATAAGACTGATAAGTAAACAAACTACATTGAATTAATCATGCAGAAAGACACGTGCGAATATTTTCCAGGTCGTGTTCAAATCGTAAAAGTTACGTAATACTAAAAGTGAAATAGACAGATAATCAGAGTTTGAATACATGTCATAAAATACGAAGGAAGTGGAAAATAAGAAAGAATGGGAGGGTTTTGAATGGAAGTCACCTAGGCCAAAGGAGAGACAAAGGTAGAACAGACTTCTTTTGTATGCAAAGACTAGGATTGTTCTCTCGAATTAATTCCCATAGCTTCTGCTAAGTGTAAAAGACGGGTTCTGATTCCGTTCGAAAGACTCGATGGAATGCTTGGTGACCCCTATCAATCGAATGAGCCAAAATAGAACTTCGTATGGATTTTATTTGACCTTTTCCGAACCATGAAGGAAGATGCTCATTAATGCTTTTGTTAAGCTGTCTGGTTGTTCGCCCTATATAGCTCTCTCCACAGGAGCAACTTAATTTATAGATACACATGGAATTGGCACAGCTAGTTAGCTTATTTTTCACTTGAGCAATCAAAATTGGTCGGCTGGAAAATGAAAAACAGAGGGTGGCGACAGTATAAGTTCGGTTTATCGCTCTCGATAATCTCAGATGTAAGACTTCGCTAGCCACGTCCCCATAAAATTGCAGTTTCATGTACAGTTGTATCTTTTCAACTCGACAGCTTAACAAACGCATTAATGAGCATCTTCCTTTATGGTTCGGAAAAGGTTAAATAAAATTTATTAGAAGTTCTATTTTGGCTCATTTGATTGATGGCGGTCACCAAGTGGACAAAAAATAGTGCTTTCAGAGTTATTTATCGCATTCCATCGAGCCTTTCGAACAGAATTCGAACCCACCTTTTACACATAGCCGAAGCTATGGGAATAAATTCGAGAGAACAACTCTAGTCTTTGCATACAAAAGAAGTTTGTTCCACCTTTGTCTTTCCCTTGTCCTAGGTGAATTCTAATCAAAACCCTCCCACCCTTTCTTATCATCCATCTCCTTCGTACTTTTATGATATTTATTTAAACTCTGATTATCTGTCTATTTCACTTTTAGTATTACGTAACTTTTAAGATTTGACCTAATTTATTTATTGAATTGTCTACATATACACATATTACTACCTTTCAATTCTATCAGTCAAGTTTGACTATGCACACTGCACTATTTAGTGACTAGTGTTCAGTCAAAGTATCCAACACAGTCAGTCCTACAGGAGATCAATAGGGATTCCCAACAGCTCAGTCGTAATATCACTGACTGCAGTACTGGGTGATGCGGGTTCGAATCTCAGAAGGGACATGAGTTCCTTCAAAGTTGCAGATATACGCCTTGCTGACTGGTGAATGCCAACTAGCACGAAACCTGTGTCTGCCTGGGCTTCCTGTGGCCGATTGCCTCTAACCATGTTTTGTTGGTCTAATACCAACAAAACATGTTCATTTTACATAAGCGGATCAAAATTTTATCTTCTAACGACTGTTCTGTCAACAATAAAATAATAATAATAATGAGTGTATATCTTATGGTACATGGTGTTAAGGATTATCTGAATAACTGATATCTCTAAAGTGAATAACTATCCGATAGAACTGACATGTAAAAAGAAATAAGAAAACACGAATCAAAGAGATCGAAGTTATTTCATTATGGATAAAATTTTATTATGATGACGTCACACAGTGTTATACAGCAATATTTACCGATGATATTAGCCAATAAAATGGGAAATAAGGTGTTTTTGTAGTAAAATAAATAACTTGTTAGCATGTTATAATGTGAATTGAATACATTTTATCATTATTAATTATCCTCTGACTTGACTGGTAATAATATCTGCCATATCTCTGACATTTGCGTCGAGTCTTTTCTGTTGCACATGTTGGGTGTAAACTCGATGAACAAGGATTCAGTAATCAATAACCTCTCTCCAAATACCTATGTTACTTTTTAGAATTTGGACTCTATCCCACCCACCATATTGTGTGGATGTGTGTCAATGCATTCAGTGCTTGTTATAACTGCACTGAATTAAAGTAAATCCCGTCGCCAATTTGTTATAACTGTAGGGAATTGAATGAAAGACGTTTTCACCTTATTCTGTCTGCGCCTGAACTAATCTGTCTACCTGCTCGTCGTACCTTCCGACTTAGTAAAGCACGCAAATATCAAAAGACAAAGGCTGGACTGTGACTGTGTATTGAGGTGCAACAACGATAAAGAAAGCCATGGTATTTATACATTTTACAACAATATGGACAGCTAACAGAATTTGAAATAATTTATCTTAATAGCCAATAACAAAGTGCGTGAGAGATGATAATATACCATATGTGCGAGGTTGACAGTCAGTAACAAAATGTGTGGGAATGATAATATACCATATATACAAAATTAGCAGTCACTACCAAAATGCGTGAGAGTGATAATATACCATATATACAAAATTAGCAGTCACTACCAAAATGCGTGAGAATGATAATATACAAAATTAGCAGTCGATACCAAAATGTGTGAGAATGATAACATACCATATATGCAAGTTTAAACAGTCAATACCAAAATATGTGGGATCCTATCAGTGCTACAGCTGAGTTTTCTACTAAATTACTTATCTTCGTGGGATCAATCATTCTCATCTTAACTAAATACTTATTTTTCTGACAATCTGACTACTCCCGATCTATTGGTTTGACCTATGTAGTTGACAACCAACAGTCATTGCAAGGCTTGTAAATTATATTATTTTGTTTAATTGGGTCCACCGGGTCTTTTAGCCTACAATACTTGTCTCTGGGTGAGTTTGTAGGTTTAAATGCCACCCTGATTCCTGCTTTATTGAGAATCCTACGCAGAGAGGGTCTCAGATGTCCCCTCCTTATATGGTAAAACTGTAGATGCCTTATATTCATTCTTATGTGTATTATCATTTTTTTCCTTTTCTTTTGACCTTTTTTGATATTCCTAATGAATTTCATAGGATAGTTATTCAACACCAAACCCTCTTCTATCTGTTTCATTTCATCGTTTAGGTCTTTTTGGTGTTAGACATTTTACTAAGCCTGCATTTAAAGTTAACGGGTGAGGTGATCCAAAGTCAAAATATCTATTAGTAGAATGTGTTGGCCTTTTATACACGCAATCTACCTTCTTCTATTCTTTTTATTTTACAACCTAGCATAATTAATTCTCCTTGTTCATTTTCTGATTCAAATGTGAATTTTATTCCCTCCACTAGTAAGTTTATGTGTGTGAAGAAGCTAGAGATATGTTCTGTTTTCAACACTGTGAAATTGTCATCCACATATCTCCAACATATTTTTGGAGTAGGATTAAATGTATTGAGAGCACTATGCTCCCAGCTGTCCATAAATATGTCTGCTACGATAGTGGATATTGGTGATCCCACTGCTACACCTTCTGTTTGTCTATATATTTTGTCTTGAAATTTAAAGATAGTAGATGTGAAACTTCAACTGCAAGTTGACACCAATCCTCCAACGAAAACTGAAGTCTTGAATGCAATCAAGCTTCTGAAAGCTAGAAAAGCAGCTGGACCAGATGGAATACCCCCTGAAGCACCGAAAGCGGACTCAGAGACGACAGCAGATGTGCTGACTCCATTATTGCAATAGGTCTGGAAGGAAGGAAAGGTGCCTACCGGCTGGGGGAAAGGTTACCTTGTGAAACTATCAAAGAAGGGAGACTTAGGACTCTGCAAGAACTGGCGAGGAATCATGCTCCTGCAGACGCCAAGTAAAATCCTCAGTCGCATCATCCTGGAGAGATTAAAGGACGCACTGGGGACAGAACACCGATTAGAACAAGCTGGATTCAGGAAAGTCAGGCAAATCATGTTCCAACCAAATTGCAACTATACGCATCACCATCACAGAGGAAAGCATCGAATGGCAATCAAACCTCTACGTCAACTTTATAGACTTTGAGAAGGCCTTCGACAGCGTTGACCGCGAAGTAATTTGAAAAATACTCGAGTACTACGGCCTACCCCAAATATTCCTCCACCTTATTCAACAGTTGTACGACTGCGGCACATGTCAAGTCATCCACAACGGAAACCTCAGCGAGGCGTTTGGAGTCAACACAGGAGTCAGACGAGGGTGCTTATTATCACCAATGATATTCCTAATTGTGGCGGACTGGATCATCCGTCAGACAATGGGAAACGAGAAGACAGGGATATCCTGGACCGACCAACGTGATGAACCTAGAAGACCTGGATTTCGCGCGTGGATGATTTATGTTTGACGTCACACAAAATCGAAGACTTACAAGCGAAAACTGACAAACTGGTCAAAGAAGCAGCAAAGACAGGAATGCAAGTGAACATAGACAATACGGAGGTTAAGAAAATAAGCAACCAGCAACAACAACAGCAGCAACATCCAGCACCAATCACCAGCAACGGGAGGGATTTGAAAGAGGTTACTTCATTCACTCACTTATCTAGGGAGCATTGTGTCAACTACAGGAGGAACGGA